TTGAGTTGTTTATATGTACAGATGTATATTTCCCGTCCGTATCTACTAGAGTCCGAAATCGGCCGGTATATCGGCTTGATTCCCAATATGATGTTCATACTTGACAAGAGTGCATGCTGCAGACCCAAGACCCACCGCGGAAACAAGGATGAGAGAGAGCCAAGATGAATGCCAAGTCGATTCCCCTCTTTTCCTGCAGCAGGAATGACACCAATGTAGAATGATATCACCTGTTCATTATGCCTGCATCACGCGTGGAAAAATGACTCCGCACTTGAGTCGGAGTTGCACCGGACTAGGGTTGGAGATGGTTCCACCTATGAGTGCTCTTGTCGGACATGGAGTTTTCATCTCCGAGTGTGGTGTGATTCGTGGCAACGGTGGAGAGAGATCCAGGATGGTTTCGGAGGAGACTTCCGAATATGTCAAGTTGCTGCAGGTTAAGCTTGACTTAGTATGTATGTAGTGTAGGATGTAGTATGGAGTATGTAGTGGGGGTTGATGTAGACTGGGTATGGTGAGTAGGGACCTCGGTCTCTACCATCGTATCGACTAATTCAAATGGTTCAATTGTAGCACATATAAAATAGCCTGATCTCCTTTGCGGGGAGCAGCAAGGCAGCCAGAGACAGAGAGAGAGAGAGAGAGAGGATAGAAACGAGACAGGGAATTTCTTTTCCTGATCCTTGGGCATGACAATGGCCCGTCTAACCACCATCACGACCGTAACACATTGGCTCCCAGCCCTCACCACTCTTCTCCTTGTCGCAACCTCCTCAACAGCTGCCCTCCCCAACAACGCTTCCCCTTCCTCCTCGTCAGTTGCTGCTACTTCTTCCACTGCTGTTGTTGCATCTTCATCCTCCCCACCAACCGTGACCCTTTCCCCCTCTTCCTCCACCCCCTCAGAGCCCTCTACCATCTTCATCGGCCGCTCCCTCCCCGAATTCTCCCAGGACCTCTTTCTCGGCATCAAATACGCCGACCAGCCCACGCGCTTCACCCCGGCCACCCTCAAGACCCGCTACCGCGCCAGTGACAGTGACAGCGAGGCGTCGACCTCCAGCGAAGACACCTCGGACGATGACGATGACAATGACGATGACGAGGTGCAGACAGTCCACTACAACGCAACCCAATACGGCAACGACTGCCCCGGCTATGGCAGCGACGAGACCACCCTCGTGGACGCCGGGTATACGCGCCTGAGCGAGGACTGCATGAATCTGAATGTGATCCGGCCTACCGCTGCCACCGGGACGGAGGAGTTGCTCCCCGTCATGGTGTGGATCTTTGGGGGAGGGTGGATTCAGGGCGCGACGAGTGATCCGAGGTTTGTTTCGCCTTCTCCTTCCTGAGGGTTAAAGGGGGGGGGAAAGCGGGCTGACTGACTGACGATGAAACTGAAGGTATAACATGAGTTACATCCTGCATCAAGGCGCACTCAACGACAAACCGGTGATCGGGGTGTCAATCAACTATCGGGTTGCTGCGTTTGGGTTTTTGGATTCGAAGGAGGTTATGGTTCGTCACCCTCTTTTTTACGTTTTGATTTGGGAGATTTGAGGCAGGGGGAAGTGATGGGAGTGATGGGAGTCTTGTGCTGATGGGCAGGTAAAAGGAATCCGGAAATACGAATCTGGGGCTGCGGGATCAACGCGTAGCCTTGCGGTGGGTGAAAGAGAATATTCGGGCGTTTGGGGGCGATCCGGACAGAATTACGATTTGGGGGGAGTCTGCGTGAGTTCTTGTCCTTCTTTGTGGTAGCTACAAAGGCTGATGGCAAGGGCAGAGGGGCTTATAGTGTCGGAGCGCATCTGGTGACGAATGATGGGGATAATGAGGGGCTATTCAGGGCTGGCGAGTTAATCCTTCCCCCCCCCCGGTTGGACGGGGCTTATTTGTGCGACAGCGATCATGGAATCGGGCAATGCAGTCGGTCCCCCCTGGAACGGCACGGACTGGTATCAACCCATGTATGACCAGATTGTGAATAAGACGAAGTATGTGCCCTAAGTGCTGTGCCTTGCGGCGTTCACGTTCACTTCCTAACAAAACAGCTGCACCACCGCCTCCGACACCCTGCAGTGTCTCCGCGAGGTCCCCTTCGAGACCTTCTATCCCCTCGCCTACAACGGGCTCGAATGGTTCGGCACCATCGACGGCACCTTCATCAAGGAGAAGCCCCAGATCAGCATCACGGAGGGCCGCTTCGCCAAGGTGCCCATCCTGCACGGGACCAACACGGACGAGGGCACGAGCTTCGGCACCACGGGGACAAACACGGACGAGGAGTGTATTGAGCAGTTGATCGGTGAGTGTCCTATCCTTCCCATATCGTAAGGTGTCTGGTCTAAACTGCGGCAAGCCTCCAAACGCTGGGTCCTCGACCGCGACCAAGCGACGCATCTGCTCGGCCTCTACCCGAATATCTCGGCCCTGGGCTGCCCCTACGGCTGGGGCAACGTCACCTGGCCGTCCCGCGGGTACGAGTACAAGCGATACGAGTCGATGGCGGGCGATCTGTGCATGGTCGCGCCGCGGCGGCTGCTGGGCACGCAGATGGCGCGGTACGAGACGGAGGTGTATGCGTACCGGTGGGATGTGGCGGCGTTGAACGAGACGAGCGTAATTGGCGTGCAGCATTTTGCGGAGGTAGCCCAGTCCTTGTTATGCCCAAAAGCAATTGGCCCCCACACGGACGAAAAACTTGCTAAGATTTTTAGATCCCCTTCGTCTTCGCCAACCCGAACCAAACCATCACCCCTCTGGGCTCCGACCCCGCGCGTCTGGCCCTGGGCAATCTGGCTGCGAGGATGTGGACGGCGTTTGTGACGGATTTAGATCCGAACGGGCATGGCGGTATGTTTCCCCCGCTCTCTTATATTGTGGAATGAGTGGTGGTTGAGAAGGGGTTTGCTGATATGAGGGGGGGCACAGTCGACGGGATCCCCCAGTGGCCGCGCTATACGCCGTCGGACGGGCCGTCCAACTTCGTCTTCCGGTTGCCGCGGACGGAGAGTTATGTCGAGGCGGATACGTACCGGGCGGAGGGGATTGAGTATATCAATTCGATTGCGCGGTAGTTATGTTCCTGGTGGGTGTGTGAGCTGGGTTGGTTGGTATGTGCGTTGTCGATGGATGGTGCGGAAGGAGTGTAATGCTATGATGGGTATACATACGTGGTGTAGTGAGCATGCTATAACGGGGTAGTTAAGCGATCTACCCACCGGCATGAAGTATACGATGATGACTTCTGAAGATCAATCTCCAGATCACGTATATCCAACCCGCTAAGTTAGTCTACTTTACTCCGCATCTCCAAGATTCTTCTGCTACTCCGATCCCAGTCATACACAGTGACTCAGTAGCTAACGATTACATTTGTCTTAGTTTTCATGTCCAGATTCAGTGAGATATTAGTTTCCAGAAGGAGAGACCAAAAAAAAAAAGGAGAAAATTTTCTGTATTTGCATAAAACCTCCCCACCCCTCAACAAAATCCAATCTAGTTGATAGAGAGAAGCTTGACCTTGCTATAATCCCCAAGAAGATTAGCACCGTTCCCACTACCCTGCCCGAAGAAAACAACCCTCCGCCTCCTCTCTCCAAACCCCACGGCGACGAAGAAACGGGGAAAAAAGGGTACTCACAAAACAAGAGTCGAGTTAGCAGGGATCAACCCGGGGAAACCACGGGCTCCGTAGCCATAGTCACTGCCAATGAGTTAATTTAAACTTTGAACTAGATCGATGGTCTATCTTTTCACTCCCCAGAAGAGCAAAAAGATGAGGGGTAAAGGGCGACGACATACGGCGAAATAGTCAAGACGGCCTCCTCGCCGACGTTCATGGTGGGGACGCCCTCGTCCCAGCCCTTGATGACCTGGCCCACGCCGATCTGGACCTTGAAGGGGCCGCGGCCGGGGTTCAGGGAGCTGTCGAATCTATTCTGGTGGTTAGATTTCTTGTGGTTTCAAGATGGAATCGGATCAAATCGAGAATGTTCATTTTAAAAATATTGGAGGGAGAGGGAAAACTTCTTTTCTTCATGTCCCGGAAGGGAAGTTGGGATGGGGGTGGAGGTGGTTTTCTGCTGAGGTGGGTGGTTTATGCCACGGGAGGGAAGATCAAGAGCAGGTAGGGGATGCTATGGGCAAGAAGGGAAAACGCAACTTGTCGCCCATGTTGTTCTCGGCGCCCTCCTTGTACAGGCATCCGGTGTAGTGGATGGAGACGTAGTCGCCCTTGACGGGCTTCTGGTCGGAGGTACCGGGGGTGAGGATGGTCTTGGTGACGCCCATTTTGATGGATTATTTAGAAATTTGGTCTGGAGGGTGGTAGTTTGTGGCGGGGTTGAGAGGGAGTGAAAGGAAAGAAGGGAAAAGGAAGAAAAAAGAAGGTTAGGTTAGGTTAGTTTAAAGGTTTCCTTCCCAAAGCAAAGCCGAAGTGGGGGGCGGCGGCGGCGGCGGCGGCGGCGGCGAGGCAGCGGGGGTTTGTACTAGTTCTTATACTCTGGAACATTAGATACGGTCAACTACGTAAAGTTTGGGATGGATCATGTTTGCACAGTAACGTAGTCAATGTTTGTTGGGTTTGGGGTTGAGAAACTTCGGGTTTAGCGTTTGGATAGATCAATTTCACTTTATTTGTGTTCCAATCTTGATGATGCTGCCCCTCCCTCAATCTAGACCGCGTTTGTTGTGGGTTTCGCTTGGCGCGGGTAGTTTTTTTTTTTTTTGTGTCTGCCTGTGTTTGGCACGGTTGGAGACTCTCGTTCTGCAATCACAGTTGAGGTTTGGTTACTTGTAAACTATAGAGGAATATTATAATTGATATGAATCCTGTCGAATGTGCTTGGAATCTCTTATTGGGTGGAGGTGGAACGGGACAGATCGTCGGGACGCTTCTCGGGGGCTCTGCTCTGCCGCCTGTGCCGCATTTGCCATTGCCGTAGCCAGTTGATGTCATTTGTCCCTGAGATTAGCAATACATCATGAATGTGTTTGCTTGGATGTTTTTGTATGTGATATCTGGGGGATTTGACTAGTCAACCCCAAACTGTCTCGAATTGATAGATAGGTTGATTTATTGATAGTATGTACTTTGCCCAAAAAAAAAAAATAAGTACCGTGCAGATGGTCCTCCATGTATCACAAAAAGCAAATCCCCTGCATGCTCTTCCCATGCAGACCTAAAATCAGGCTGCAGTAGCGTTGGCCTCCCAAAACGGCAACTTCTTCATCTCTGCCACCGAGATGCCCCGAACGCGCGTGCGAGGGAACCGCGGATCGACGACCCCGTCTTCTTGGTCGGATAACGCCAGATAATGCACCGTCGTGATGCCCACGGCCTCGAGCCACGGCAGCACGCGGTGGTAGTTCAGCCCTACCTGGTCCAGCCCGTGGCTGTCGTCCGAGAGCACGAAGCGGCCGCCGAGGGCGAGGAATTCCTGTTGCGGTGCGTGCATTAGCCTCTATTAATCACACCCCTTCAGCTACAAACACAACCTCCCTCCCCAATTCCAGTCTGATAAGAAAGAAAAAAAACAACTCACCCGACAAACCTCCCCCATCGGATACGGCTCGCGCATCCCCTTCCGCAACGCCGCCGAATTCACCTCCAGCAGACCCCCGTAGCCCGCCACGAACGCCAGGTTGCGGCGCACCTTCGCCCAGACCCCATCTTCGTGAAGACCCCACCGCCGCAGACTCCCATCGGGCTCATCGCTCTTCAACCGGATCAGATCGAAGTGCCCGACGACCAGCGGCCGCACCTGCCGCAGCATCGCCAGCTGCTCGTCGAAGTAGGCCGCGAACAGGCGCTCGTCGGAGCCGCCGGCGGCGGCGCGGGCCTGCTCGTACATGGCGCGGTCGTAGTCGATGGGCACGGTGCAGGTGTGGTGGATCGAGCCCATGAAGAAGTCGAAGGGGTGGGCGGCCAGGGACTGCTGGATCAGGGCGAGGGAGCCCGGTTCGCGGATCCAGTCGATCTCGAAGCCGATGAGGATGTTGGTTTCTGCCGTGCTGTACTTGGTGCGTAGGCGCGTGGCTTCAGCGTAGTAGGCTTTTTCGTTGGCGAGGTGGCTTTCTTCGGTATTGCCGGCTTCGATCTTGGGTTTTTTTTTAGTTGGGGTAGATATGGGGGAGAAGCGGTTGAGGCAGACCTCTTCAGGGTAAAAGTCCTCCTTGTGTCGGGGCATATGCTCGGTTAGACAGAAGGTGTGGAAGCGTTTCTGGATGGCTAGTTGGATGATCTCCTCCAGGGAGTCTTTGGCGTGGCCGGGGCAGAATTGCCCTGAGTGGCTGTGGTGGGAGAAGGGCATCTTCTGGCAGTGATTAGTTTGGGGTTTGTATATGGTGATGGCATGGTGTTTGGAGGATTGATAGGGATGATAAAGAAGATGATGATGCTCACGATGACTGCGTACCCCGCGATGAGGAGGGGTAGTTGTGACTTCTAGGTGAGGGGTGTTAAATCTGTCTGTCTAAACATGCATTCCAAGAAGAATTTCCAAGTTTTGTACTGTATATGCAAGGCGGTTCGTCGGCTGCAGACTGTACTGTACGAAAGTATAGTCGGGGTGGATCGCGGAGGTCGAGAGATCCTCTCTTTTTATGGGGGCCCGATTCAAGCAATCATCAGCCGGACCCGGAGCACGCTGCTACTTGGTGTCTCCCTCACTCTCACGGGCTTTGCCTAGGTACGATTCCGATCGCATATGATTATACAAGGTTTTGATGGCATAGACATGCATCAATCGCTCTAAACATCCATCTCGATGATTATCGCCTCGCCTGAGGCTCCAAGAGCAAGAACCTAATACCGTGCCTTATCTTATAGACAGCGACAACCCAGCCCTCAGCTTCAACCTCAACCTCCCCATCCTGATACCTTTAACCTAACCCCCAGTCCATCACAGTCCAGCACAGTCCAGCACAGTCCAGCACAGCATAGCACATCTAACCCATAAGCCACGGCATATCCCCGTCTTGCAATACCCATCAAATCCTTCCTCCACCCCCATAAACCATAACAGTACTCCGTGCACCCAAACCACCCAAACGCCATAACACAACCCCCCCCCTATCAGAAAAAACCTCACCCCGCCGCCAAAACCATCGCAACCACATACTCCCCATCATGCGAAATCGACAACTTGCCCACCCTGCCACCACCCCCACCTTTCTGCCCATCCCCATCGCCCTCCAACCCATCCAAAAACACCACCTCCGGCCGCCCCTCATCGACCTCACTCACCTGCACAACCACCTCCTTCCACCCGAGCTGCGCGGCGCCCCGCGGCGCCGCCTTTCGCGCGGCCTCCTTGGCGGCGAACCGCCCCGCGAGCCAGCGGGTCATGTCTGGGGTAATCGTCACGGGGGGTTGCGAAGATGAAGGATGGGGTTGGAGTTTGGGCTGCACTTGGGATTGGGATTGGGGTTTCGCTTGGGGTTGGGAATTGTGTAGAGGTACAAGGGAGGGGGACAGCTGAAAGCGCGCACGGAAGTCGGCTTGTTCGCGGGGGTGGAGGATGCGGCGGGTGAAGCGGGCGAGGTAGGTGCCGTTCTGGCGGGTGAGGAGGCGGGCGATGCGGGGGAGGTGGACGATGTCGGTGCCGATGTTGAGGGCGAGGGGAAAGGGGGTCGGGGGTTTCATTTTTGCAGTCCACGGAGTCGTGGGGTGGGAGGTGTGTATGGTGTGGGTGGGTTTGTTGATGGTGGTGTGAGGTGATGGTAGAGAAATTGAGGATGGGAGGGAGGGAGGCAGGGTCGGGTCAGGTGACTGGTTTTGGTTGGGATTTGGTGTTTATTGAGGATATCTAGATAGGGACTGACGGGTGTAGACATGTCAATTTATTCAATTGATCTGTTGAATGATCTGTTAGAGTTGAGGGTTGGAGCTGTGTTTTTCTAGTTGGAGCTGTTCGTGTCACCAAGCTCGATATGCCTTTGACCTGCAATTGTCCTACATGTTATAAGTCAAAAACACGCCATTGCTACCTGGCTTTACAACTCATACAACCAATCTACTGTCCAAAACATCTCCAGACCAATTGAAGCAAGCATGGTGTATACTCTATATGTACAGATTCACACCTGACCCTCAGAAGTCAACCCGTCCCGACATGTCAGACGTTTCAAGCGCCAAAGGCATGGCCCAACTCGGCCACGTTGCATCTGGGTCTCGCACCGGTGTATAATCGACTCGACTGGATCTTGCACGTCGGGCACATTAGATTCAACTAGTCCTCGACTCTAGCATGGGATACATCGGCTTTAATGATCCTTCTTCTTGTCGTCTCCGTTCACCTGCTTCAGGAAGTCCCTGTAGCCAAACTGTTAGCTCGAGCGCGGTTGCGGTCGTTGGGTGCACCCTGCATCTGGACTGCAGGCCCCTAGCTGATCAAGCAGCTGAGGGATGACAGGGCGTGGCATCCAGCCCTTCGCGAGTATCTTTCACAAGCCGCTGTCTCCGCCGCTTTTCCGCAGCTCAAGCAGCTGAAGTTGCATCCGATAGTCTTGAAAGGCCGCCATTTCGAGAGTGGGAATATGTGTGCATTCTGCCTGCTTAGGGTCTTCGGCAACGTACGTGATGAATTCCTCCTCGTCCTTAGAAGAAGCCTGGATAGGAGGAGTAGCGGGCTTGGGCTGGCTGCCACCGCCCATGGCAAGCTTGACACCACCGAAGAGGGCACCGAGAACACCCATGGCGAGCTAGAGAGCGTTTCCTCGTTAGTCATTGATCCTCATGACGCAGGTCAGACACTGTCCGTCCCACAACACCTGGACAGAAATTGGCCTCGGACGACAGGGAGGGCCGGGCAGAGGTCGGGTGCGAGTAACTGTCGCAGCGGAGTACGTACATAGTGAGAGCCGACCTTCCTGCCGGCGATCTGGTAGTAGACGACCATGGTGACGGATTGGAGAGGGAGGGAATTGGATGGAGTTTAGCGGAGAAGCGGTGCGATGATAGGTTCCTGCGCGAATAAGTCGAACGGACGGCAGCGGAGGAAGTTGCGGCTGCTGGTTCTGTCCCGATTGGGTATGGTAGGCTGACTCAGCAATGAGTCAGTAACGTAATCGTCAACCGAGCGAGCCACGCAAGCGAGCGAGCCACCACCCCCTGAATCCTTCCATCTCTAAGAACTGAAACAATTCAGCGGTTAATTATACTACTAAAAATGCCGAAATTATCAAAAGACTTATTATATTAAGAGGGCCGAATCTACCTTACTTTTAAAGCTATAAAGACCGATTAAATTACTTAAATTTATAAAGCTGCTGATGTTTTTAATATTTTTTATTTAACTTTTTAATACCGTATAAATAGCTGTTTATTTTATTAAAAAAACTCGCCCCAATTTTTATAAACTTACTATAAGAAAGAAAGAAATATTTAAAAAGTAGATTCTCTTACTTAACGCCCGCAGCGTATTTTTAAAAAATTCTGTAGTTTATGAGATGGCTAATATATTACTTTAAAAGTATAGAAATTAGAAAAAATTAATAATTATGGGAGAGAGATGGATTATAAATTTTATTATATATTATAAAGCTTTAAAAAATTATTATTTCCGCCAGCTGGATACTAAACGGGCGAAGTACGAGAATCTACAGATTATACAGATTTAATTTAACCGCATTTAAAAGACTATATTAGAGTACGGAATTTTTAAAGAAGACGTATTTAACTTTAATAAAACCGGTTTTATAATAAATTAAATTATAACAGCTAAAGTTGTTACTTAATTAAACTGTTTAGAAAGACTTTTTTTTATACAGCTAAATAACCGCGAATAGATAATTTTAATTGAATATATTAACACCGCCGGCTGGGCGTTAAAGTTGTATTTAATTTTTAAAAAAATAAATTATATAGTAAGCTGGTATGAAGCCTCAATTCCGGGCGATTAAAGAATTAATATATCTTTAAATAATTAAATAAATAATAAAATCGGCTTATATTAGCTTAAATATTACTTTATTCTATTAATAATTAACTGATGAATTAGTAAATACACTCTATTAATTTTTAATAGCTATAAATTATATTTAATATTTAAATTTAATAACTTATATTATATTAATTATATTATTCTTATTTATATATCTTCTAAATCATTACATCTCTACCAGCTGTTGGATGTCTTTTATTTTATACTTTTTAAGAAGATATATTACGGCTTGGTAGAACGCCTTGCACGTATCCAATATTTAAAAATTAATAAAAATAATTTTTTAAAAAAGTATTTAAAAATTTATATTATAGCTTTTAAAAAAGTTAATATATAAAGTGTTTTTAAAGCTTCAGACTTAGTTCTATATAATTTAAGCTAAATATTTAATAAGCTGATTTATAAGAATTTTAATAGCCGGTCAAGCAGTCAAGATTTTCGATTAATAATCTTAAAGACGTCTGTTAATATAAATTAATTTAAGAAGTAAGAGACAAGGCTTGAACAACTGCTTAGTAGTATAACTAATATACTAATAAAATCAGCTTTAGACTATATTTTTAAAGATGCTGAGATGGTATTAAATCAGACGGTTTTATTAAAATAAAAAGTTTAAAAACTCCGCTGGACGAATAAGAAATTAAATATTAAAAAATAATAAAAAAATAAGCAGCTTACAGGCCTTAACAGTCTTACTGTTGATAAAGTAAAAAAAATATTCTTATATAAATATAAAAAAAATAAAGTTCTTTAGATTAAAAATTAGAATCAGCCTCGCCGCCGGGCACCTTCCAGATGCAGCGAGTGCGGTATTTAAGAATATATATATATAAAATATCCAAACCGAAGAATTATATAAAAAGATAATTAAAATAGTATAATTAAGGCTTTAAAATACTATATATTTATATACAAATCAAAAATCCATATTAGTACTGTATTTGGTAGATCTGCTGGCTCGCTCGCTTACGTGGCTCGCTCGGTTGACGATTACGTTAATGTAATCGGTAAGCGAGTGGGCACGGCAAGCGAGTGGGCACCCACGCCCACCCAAACAGCCTTCCATGAAAAGATGAAGCTTATATATACTATATATCAAAGAATTAATATGTTTAATTGGTATTTTAATATGTTAGATATTTTATTTTTATATATTTAATTATATTACAATCGCTGCAGCGAGGTGGTGCCCGGCGGTGAGATTGTTCCTCGCTGGCAGCTGATTTTTTAAACTGGCTTCCACCAACTTAATCAGCTTTACAAATTCTTTTGAATATATTTCTGGTCTTGTCAACGGTGAGGCCGTTTAGACCAGCCATTCGACGATAAGATCTTTTGTTTTTAGTATTCTGTTTTTTTAATCCAGTTCGTAATTTATTATTTTTCTGTTTAAGTAAAGCAGCCCGATTGAAGGCGATTTTGCATTCTTTTATAATATAGAATAACGCTGCTTTTATTTGCGAGGACGGGCTAATTATATGTTTACGAAGAAGCCTTTCAATTATAGTTTTATATCTCTGTAATTACTTCGTGTTTTTGGGTGTTTTTAATACTATTGATATAATAGTAGTACTGCCGGTTGGAGTAGACTTACGAATCTGTATAACCAGTCTACTAAAAATCTCGTTCTGCTGGAATAGAACCAATCCTAAAGTCTTAAAGATATTATAAATAGTTGATTCTTTAAAGGTAAGAGAACGTGCTTTTAGATATGTATTTAAGAAATTAATCTTATTAATATAGTAGATGCTCTGGCGGATCAGCCGTTCTATTAAGCTTTTGTACGCTCTTTTTAACGGTGTAAAGCAAGTAATATTAAGTAGTTGATAAAAGTGTAAAGAATATAGAAATATATAGATAGAAATAATATTATTTTAATTATATATATCGTCAAATTCCGCAGTTAAATAGGAGTCATGTCCGTTAAAAATTAAGAGACTATATTATTCTATCTGTCGGTTTTTGATGGAAGGAATAAAATATTTACAAAGCTAATATAAACCGATATTATTAGAAGTCCAACCATTTGGTGATAGATTAAAATATTAATTAGAGGAAAGAAGATCTTGGTACTATATTTTTATATAAACTTTTTTCTTAAGAATTAAATACGGTGATAATACCACACCGGCGGTGTTGATATATTTAATTAAAGTTACTTATTCTTAATTTTTTGGCTGTATAAGAAATAGCTTGTTTATATAATTAGACTGTATAACTATACGGGCTGTAGCTATTATTTCTATAGCAAAACCGGTTTTATTAAAATTTTAGATATTTTAATTAAAAATACTATACTTCTTTTTTGTAGTTTTAATACGGTTAAATTATTCAGTTAAAAGCTTCGGATCTTTATATTTTATATATTGAATATGATATCTTCGAGAGAACTGAGTCTTTAAAGCCGAAGTATGTTTAATAAATTGTATATTTATTTTTTATCTACAGAGACTGTAGAATTCGAGTTTTGTTTTTGGAGAAGAATTGTTGCCATATTCCGTACGTATATCGGCCGAGAATAAAGCCTATACTTTATAAATAAAAGAATCCAATTTTTTAAAGCCTCTTTTTTTAAGAAGAGTTAATTTTATAGAGTTAGTATATATATCTGATTGTGTTTTGACTTTCTTAAGGCGTCGTTGCAAAGTTAAATGCGGAATATTAAAAATGCTTGCAGCTTTTTTAATAAGCAGAATTTTGTTATTTTAAATAGTCTTAATAGCGAGGCAGATACGGTCCTCTCGTTCCACCAAAGAATTTAATAATTGAGGCATATTTAGTGGAATTATTGGTGGTTGAATTGCTTCAATTTTAAGAACGCGAAGACGACGCGCGCGGGTGCCCACTCGCTTGCCGTGCCCACTCGCTTACCGATTACGTTAGTGGACAGCCGCTCCGCTGAGTCAGAGCTGCGTCAGCAGCTCCAGCTGTGCTCTTTCACGTGACCTACAGCTCCCTCCGGGAACGTCCGACGGCGGATGACGTTCGGGAAGCAATCACGGGATATCAGCTGATCCGTTACTGTCTGTATGAGCCGATGATGTCCTCATGCTCTCAACAATAATTCCATTCATTATAAGACGATCCAAACCGGTGATCTACAATTGGACTGATCCAACAATGTGACGGTCAGCTTAACCTCATCAGAGCCAACTCAATCCTAAGCCGTTGACCAGCGCAGCGTGCATCTGCCAGCCATGAGGTCACTACTTGGACTGTAAGTGATTGTGGCGGTGTTCCATGCCCAGCAAAGCTGCTGCTGGCTTCCTGTTTCCCGACAGACCTCGGGGCGAGAAAGCACGACACGGAGAGCCTCCATTCTGGCTATGACGGGCAAGATTTACCCCGGCTATTGCATGGAATGATCTGTTGGGGGCAGCTGCCCCTTCTTCTACCTTTTTTTTGGTTGCTTCGGTCTTCTTCTTCTTCTCTTCTTACATTCCTCCCTCACTTCTTTTTCTCTGAGTCTTTCTCTTTTGTGTAATCTAATTTCACTTCTCCTCCCTTCATTACACTGCATTACCCCCTTGCAACCTTCTGTCTCTACACCATATAATCCTCAGTAAGTCAATATTCCTCCCATCTTCCCAGTCAGGACACCTCACTTATTCATCACTCAGCTTTCGAAACTCCTCACGCGACCGCATCATGATTTGGGGGAAACAGCAAGACAAAGCGCCCGAGGTGGTACAGCAACCCATTCCGCGCGAGAAGCTGCCGGACCAGCTTCAGAAGCTCGTTGACCACGACGATGGCTTCTACGATGACATTTATTCCTCCTAGTATGTTGTTTCTTGTTTCCTGGGGCCGTTGCGACGCACCGTCCCTCGCTCGACCACCTCCGCGTCTCCCCGCATTCTTCCCCGCAAGCGCCGGACTGCAACTGTCCGCTAGTCGCTGCGATCATCCCGACGCCAGCCCAGGCAGCAGCAACCATCAATTTAATACGCGGAAAAATTATCGGAATCAATCTGACCCATCGCCAGTTCTGTTGACTCCACGGAAACTCCCTACCGATATGCCGGTTACGCTACTCGACTTCGCACGATTCTGCTCTCCGCCCACCGCTATGTCGCCTACACCTCTGACATCGGCGAATCCTTCCGCCCCGTCGCGCACCCGTGGCTCGTGCGCTCCGCCTACGGTATTTCATGGACGTATTTGATCGGCGACGTCGCGCACGAAGGATACAAGGCCTACCTGCGCAACCGCAGCCTGCTCGCCCCGCCATGTGAGGCCTACAAAGATGCCAGCGACCTCTCTCCTGAACAAGTCGCCAAGGGCATGGTGACCGGCAACCTGACCAAGCCTCTCACCTCGACATCGACCGACACGCTCACTCCCTGGCCTACCACCGAGATTCCCCTCATCGAGGACTATCGCATGGTGATGGCCAAGCGCGCCGTGTTCCAAAGTATAGCCAGTATGGGTCTGCCGGCCTTCACCATTCATTCCGTCGTGAAATACTCGGGCCGGATGTTCAAGAAATCCTCGAACACTTTCCTCCGCACCTGGTCTCCCATCGGAGTAAGTTCCCTCTGCAATCTGAAACTCCCACCGCAGAGACAATTGACTGATTACCACAGCTCGGTCTGGCCGTCGTTCCCTTCCTCCCGTATCTCTTCGACGAGCCCGTCGAAGAAGCCGTCGAGTGGGCCTTCAGCCGCGGGCTCTGGCTCTACGGCGGCGACGAAGCCGTCCGCCCCCTCCCTCCGCCCAAGGCCGCCCACGTCTCTCAGGACGAAGCCACCTCCCTCAGCCACTACCTCCGCGTGCAGACGGAAAAGCACAACAAAGAGTCGCTGGGCTTCGACGCCAGCGTCTCCGACTCGGCCGCCAACCTCTCCTGGGAGGCATACAAGGAGGAGCGCCAACGAGCGAAGGAGCAGCGCCAGCGGGAGCGCGAGCAGCACGGCCACACGGGTCCCCTCTCTTTTTTGAATGGGTTAACCAAGGAAAAGACGGAGTAAAGCTCCCGGTTTGCCACTATATTGCTATATTGCTTCCTTGATACCAGATTCCACTATGCATCTCCTGGACCACTTCAGCGTTTGCCTGGCACTTAGGACATTTAGTTTCTACATGTATATAAGTTAGCGGGTCTATCCTCTTTACTCATGGATTTTTTTATTGGCAGGATCGTATCAGCCCATTGATGTCTGTTTGACCGAGTAACTCGATCCAGGGTGGATGGCTACTCGATATGAGTGTATTTGCCGCTACTATCCACGAACTGAATCCGCCGCAATTAGACGGAAATGCACACACACACCATCCATACTTGAAGCTACACAACTTCCATACACGTCCTCGCCCACACACATGAGAACCACCGAGTACACTTCCACAATACGAAGCGAACTAGCTATATGAAACTTATTCTAACTACACTTCCTTTCCCCCCACCCAGGCTCTCCCCAGGCCCTCCTTCCACCTCCAGGATCACGCAGGGTATGACAACCCGAGTCAAGACACCCAGAACAGAAATCATGAACTTCAGTGTTAGTGAAGAAGATGCTAAAGTTTTCGCAAAATGCAATACATCTATATACACACCGCGAAACTCCCCATCTCGTAGGGAAAGAATAGTAGAACTTGAATCCCTCCCGTCCTCCCTCGGCACGGCACCAAGACAGTACTCAAAGAGAAAAGAAAACAAGCAAACCCCCTCTACATAGTCAAGCAATAATACTGTGAACACTTGCTACGTACAGTACAATCAAACACATACTCGCCATTCAATCGAGCCGGGAATTATATTTCTTGCTATGCAGAAGCCAGATGGGAATTTGATGAGAATGCAGGTTCTGGTGGGAATGGGAAAGTTGAGAGAGGAGGGAGAGATTATGGTTTGCACGTAGGCACCTGGGGTGATTGTGTGACAGGGACAAAAAAAGACTTGCTATGTTATAGAGAGGATGAGGCAAGAACAGAAGGGTTCGCTGACTTTCATGGACCGGTTGCCCTAGGCACCACCAGCGTTAAGTCAATCATCCTTGAACCGATCCCTGGATGGATGAGTCCTGCTCGATCGTCCAGGTGACGGGGTGGGGAAGCGGCCTCTGAGAGTCGAGGATGAGGATGTGGAGGATGTTCCGTTGGGGAGGAGGGAGGTCGATGCTGATGTTGATGGGGGATTGCGGTCGAGGTCGTGGCGACGTGCGGTTCCTCTGTCCGCTGGACCTCCGGGAGGGTTGGGTGCTGCCGGCTCTAGTCCATCGTTCAGCTCGATGAGATCGCCCAGATTGCGACGGCCGCTGGTTTGGATCTGGACCGTGGGGTCGGTGCTGGCGGGGGTGCCGCTTGCTTGCTGCAGGTCGTTGAGGCTGGCTTTGGCGCGGGTGGTCATCTTGCGGACCCACGATTCCACGGCCCCGCCGATGTTCTCGAGGCCAGTGGGGGTGTTGGAGACGGCGGAGGCGGTGGGGGTATCGGAAGTGGTGTCGAAGTTCGGGGGTCGGGTTGCGGGCGCAAGGTTGGGGAGGTGCTGCGCGAAGAACTTGCTCAGTCCGTCCATCGCGGGGCCCGGGGCGGTGATGTCGCGGTCGAGTGTGCCGACGCCGGGGGCGGAGAATTGAATGCCGCTGTGTTGGCGCTGATGCCGGGTTCCGGGCCTCCTGGGGTTCTTAGGGTTCTTGGGAGAAGAGGGGTCGGTGGACTGGCGGTTCCATTGGAATATGGGAGGCTGGAAGGACTGGGATTCAGCCGGTGATGAGGATACAGAAGAAGCCGTTGCCGTTCGTGCCTGATCCGAGGATGGCGATGGTACGGAGTCGGTATAAGACACCGATTTTCGCCGTGTGCGTGGGAAAAACCCCAATGCGCCTCGAGGAATGCGCCCTATCTCGACTGGCGCACTGAATCCTTCGATCTCTACCCAGGACTCGTGCTTCCACACCCGGTCCCCGTCTCCTTCGTGCATAGTACTTGGTGGTTCCGATTTCGGATGTCCCGGTACCGCAGTGGGTGCAATCGAGCTTCCATTCAAGTCTTCCAGAGACTCATGGGTACCGTTCAGTAGGCCAGCGTCGGGCCCACTCCGTTTTGGCCGTCCTTTGATCGAGCAAGCGGCAACCGGCAGGAGAACCGTTTTCCGGCCTTGTATGCTATCGCTGGGCCAGAATCCGTTGGCCTTTCGGAAAATTGCCGGCTGGCAGCCATATCGTATCGTAACACCGGTGATGGTATCTGTCGGTTGCACATGGTGTATGTATACTAGCGCGTCCTCATCCTGCTCCGGGTCAATGTTGGAATGACCCGTTTGGTCGCTCGAATCCCGCCGCTTGTGTCGCGAACCGGGGGCCCAAGCTGGCCCGGTGTCGGCCAGCAGAAGAGCCTCGCGTTTCTTTGCCTGCACCAATGCCTGCCGTTCTTCCTTGGTCCCCACTCCAACTTCCGGTGTCGACGGAGCCGATGGCCCCCATGACGCAGGTATGGATGAACGAGGGGGTGGTCTCGAATATAAGTCCGGTCGGGAGGGTTTCCGGGCATGACCTCGCGCGGTGCCGTTGGGAGCCGGTCGCGCCATATCGCTCCCTAATACTGATGAGGCCAAGCTTTGCAGCGATGACCAGGATGCATCCAGAAAATCTATAGAAGAAATATTGTCTAAGCCAACTTGGGTCCAGTCCTCATGTCTTTGACGAAACCCACCTAGGGAGCTGTTTCCTCGAATGCGGTTGAAGGATTCGGTAGCTCGAGATGGATGTCTCATCGGAATAGGGGACACTCCGCGGGATGGGTTTGGCGATGGAGTGGCACCGCGAGAGCGGACGACCGACTCCGAGGACAGCATCGACGACAGTCCGAAGGACTGCATTTGCCTCCCACCATCCTCATTGTCACTGTCGACGATGGAGATCAAGCGGCGAGTTCGCGGTCGCACCGTTGGTGTGGATCTAGTGCTTGCGGTCCCGGGGTTGAAGGCTTCGGCCAAGCCGCTGTTGGAACTCATCCCTGGCTGTGGGAGGAGAAGGATAATTAGGGGTTGTAGATGTTGTCAGCTCTCCGGAGCGAGCTTAGCTTGGATGAGATCGCCCAGGCACTGATTGCCATCGGAGGTCTCTATTTCAGACCATTCGTCATGCGGCGGTTGTGGTTATCGCATCCGTGTCCTAATCGTGAAACACCCGCGGCACCTGGAGATTATCAGGACAGTAGCACCCGTGCTTTGGCCCGATTGTGTAGAATGTATCGATTTCGATATAGGCTCTGAGCCACCCTTGAGGGTTGAGCTGCGTTTGGGGGAGGGGAGGCTTGAAGGGGGGGGTGGGAAGCGCGGGATAAGAGAAAGTAAGTATGGAGTCTAGTCTCTTGTGATGACGACTACAGGTCGGGAGGGGGTTGATCAATCGTACTGGAGGCGGGGTGATTGTCTCCTGATCGGTCGGGACAGAACGTCAAAGGAATTCGGGGAATTTTGAAGCTGGAGGAGAGAATGAAGAAGGACAGCGGCGACGATTGAGAAGGAGAATAAGGCGAGTGGGAACCGCTTGATCGGCAAGAAGCCTTCCCAAAGTACAGTACAGACAGTAACTACCAGTAGTAATCTCATGAGTCTCTGTCTTAACTTGTCTCGCCCTCCCTTGACGTCGCCCGGTGGCGTACCGATTCATACTGTATGGTGCCATTTAACACTACCGATTTTGGCTGGCCGCGTAATCGGGTTACAATACCATTTCCATTGCTAATGCCCTGAATAGCGAGTATCCGAGTATCTTGTCCCAAGCATCTCATCCCAAGCATCGATGATGATGATACACAGGGGCTCCAGGAATAGTCTATGAACAGAAGTATGTCTAGTAAGCCCTGTCGCAGACAGAATTGATTGCACAGAGCCATGCCAGTTTTCATCACTGGCAACAATTCGCGCTTAGATAGCCAAGCCAAAGAACCAGAGAGGAGAAAAAAAAAGAAAAAAAAAAAAAAAAAAAAAAACGGGGGGAACCCATCAGACAAGTATAGATTGACATGAAAGTAAAGTGCACAGGGGAATCCAATGATGCCGGATGAAGAGGATCAATGATTTACTCGGGAGGTTCGGCCATCTCGGCCGGTCGTGTCTCTGCTTCAGACGTCGCTTCAGACTCGGTACTCCATTCTTTCTCCGAGTTCGCTTTGGCCTGAACCTGAGCGGGTGGAGGAATGACCCGAACACCACCGGCACGACTGAAGAAATCCTCCGTCCGTAGGCCACGGACATCCTTGGGGTCTACTGAAGCCATCTGCTGCCCATCGGCCTTCTTTTGTCGGATTAACTCTCGCACCGGAACCATGGCCGCATCACGGCACGCCTCCTTGATATCACTGCCGGACATGCCTGACATGGCTTTAACGAGGTAGTGCAGATCGAAATTATCCCGGTCGACCTTGGTGTCCTTCAAGATCAGACTGAGAATCCGCAGGCGCTGTGCTGCGGGCGGGAGTACGACCGGGAACTTCTTCGGCATTCGTCGGAGGATGGCGTCGTCGATATCTTGGATACGATTGGTGGCACCCAAAACAACCACGCGCTGAGGTTCTCCCAAGGAGTTTGCGGATGTGAGACCGTCCCAATGTGTCATGAATTCTGCCTTGACCATGCCACTGGCCTCATGTTCTCCGCTCCGTCTCGTGCCCAGCACGGCATCAATCTCATCAATAAAAACAATCGAGGGTTGAAGTTTTCGGGCTAGCGAGAATACTGCATTGACAAGCTTGTTGGAGTCGCCGTACCATTTCTCCGTCAATGTCGAGATGTGTAGGTTGATGAAGCATGCGCCGCTCTCGTGAGCCAACGCTTTCGCAAGCATAGTCTTTCCGCATCCAGGCGGTCCGTACAGCAAGACACCCGATGGCGCGGTCAAGAGTGATGAGGACGAGGAATAGAGGTGGGGCATCGTAAGGGGGTATATAACAGACTCTTTCAGCTCTTCGATGATATCGTCCAGGCCGCCGATATCTTCGAAGGACACATGAATATCGTCCGGAGCAACCACATCCATCGCGATGGCTTGTTCATATTGGTTGAGAGTCAAATCGCCCCTCTTAGATCGACTCTTCTCTTTGCGCTCGCGGCGCGGCGAACCCTCGTCTGATTCATCCCCGCCGTCAAGTTTCCGTAGGATGGCAGCGGATTTGCGTCGTTGTTCTTCCTTTTTCTGACTTTCGGGATCAAAGTCGAGGCGCGAAATAAGGTATCGGATGAGGAAGTATGCAGATGCAGACTACTCACGATCTGTCAGTAATGTTCCGAGGTTCGCAGCGTCATCAACTTACTGTGCCCGCAACCATCACCAACTCCTGTAAGAACTGTTGCCATCGGGGACCACGAGCGGAAGCCATGATGTCAGAATGCAGTGAGTGGACTGAATGTTCAGTTGACTGCAACGTATGATAAGTGGTATGATAAGTGCGAAAAGAAGCCCAGCGGTCTATTTCCGGGGTCCTAAGGCAACTAGATATGATCGCGATTGTCGCCGGGTCGGCTGTCGGCGAGCGAGCTGAGAGCTGTGGCGCTCGTCGGCGGGAGACGTGGCTTTGCCGGCAGAATCACATGCTTCACTGCCACACTGGGCTGTCGGGTTGAAGCCTGAGGCTGACATGATGGTCCAGGGCACTTCGCTTTTGGCTCTCACAGCCTTCCGTACAATGACGACCCGCTCGCGTGTCGAATCAGGGGCCACCGATTGGCTGCGGGTCTTCCCCAAGGTTCCCCCAAATCAGGTACGCGGAAATGTGCGGCCATCTTTCTGATTCCCCTAAAGCTAAGCTTGACCCGGGGGGATGCTGTGGCATCTGGAATACCTCGAATACCTTAGCATTGTGTCTCCTTTTCCTGGGTCATTCATCGGTGTAATTTTTACTTGTTTCTAATGACTTTCGATTGTTTCTGACCCTCGATCTCTTTTTCTCACCTTGTTCCACCTACGTCTGCGCCTCTGCCACCGCAAACATGGCGCGTCTGGGCCGCGCAGGGTTCCTCACCCTCGCCGTGGTCTTTCACCTGATCTACGCCTATTCGATCTTTGACATTTACTTCGTTAGCCCCATTGTGAGTGGGATGAAGTCGTTCCATGTGGAACGGGAACCAGGTGCCTCTGCTCCAGCCAAGCGACTCGTTTTGTTTGTGGCCGACGGCCTGCGTGCCGATAAGGCCTTCCAAGCATTGCCCGACCCCGACGAATCCGCAAATGACGACAATGAACCAATCTACCTCGCCCCATTCATTCGATCTCGCGTGCTGTCCCACGGCACTTTTGGCATTTCCCATACCCGTGTTCCAACCGAATCCAGACCGGGCCATGTTGCCCTCATTGCAGGTCTGTATGAGGACGTTTCGGCAGTGACCACAGGATGGAAGCTGAACCCGGTGAACTTCGACAGTGTTTTCAACCGGAGTCGGCATACATGGAGCTGGGGAAGTCCGGACATTCTGCCCATGTTCAAGGAAGGCGCGGTTCCAGACAGAGTGGATGCAGACACATACGGCGAGGAGGCGGAGGACTTCACTTCGGATGCGACAAAGCTTGACACCTGGGTCTTCGATAAGGTTAAGGAACTTTTCCAATCCGCGAAACATGATCCCGAGCTAGATGCCAAGCTACGCGACGACAAGCTTGTATTCTTTCTGCATCTTCTCGGCCTTGATACAACTGGCCATGGCTATCGCCCGTACTCGAAGGAGTATTTGAGTAACATAAAGGTGGTGGACCGAGGTGTGCAGGAGATAACTCAGCTAGTGGAAGAATTCTACGGAGACGAGCAGACGGCATTTGTTTTCACCGCAGATCACGGCATGAGCGATTGGGGCAGTCATGGTGATGGCCACCCAGACAATACTCGGACACCTCTTGTTGTATGGGGGTCTGGTGTTGCTGGCCCCAAGATACCGCAGGAGGGTGCCTTGTCAGGACATGAAGACGGTGTGTCGCATGACTGGGGCCTGCATGGTGTTCAGCGAAACGATGTTGCACAGGCCGATGTCGCGGCGCTCATGGCATACCTGGCTGGGCTTGACTTTCCAACCAACTCAGTGGGCCAGTTGCCTCTCGCCTTCCTCGATGCCAGCCCAGAAGAGAAGGCTCGTGCTGCGCTTGCGAATACTCAAGAGGTCTTGGAAATGTATAATGTGAAGGAAGAACAAAAACAGGCCGTTTTGCTCCGATATAAGCCTTACGAGCCACTCGACAATCATCGCGAGACCATTGAGGAGATCCAGAGACTCATTGCAAGCGGCGACTTTGAGAGCTCGATTGAAATGTCAGCATCGCTCTTTGCCAAAGCCCTGGAGGGTCTGCGCTATCTACAGACATATGATTGGCTTTTCCTCAGAACCATTGTGACTTTTGGATATCTGGGGTGGATTGCTTATGCTTTGACGACGGTTATCGACCTGCACGTTTTGCACGGCACATCTGACGCAAGAAGGACTGTTTTCAGCACCATGTTCTTCTCTTCCGTATTGGTTGTGCTCTTCTCTGTCTTCTGGTATCAAAAGTCCTCCTGGCGCTACTATTTCTACGGCTTTTTCCCCGTTTTCTTCTGGGAAGAAGTTTTTGCCCGCCGAAAAGCTCTTTCCGCTGGACGGGAAATTCTTCTGGGCCATGTACAATCTGCAAGCGGTTACGCTACGCTCGGTATTCAGCTATTAGTGTTTGTTGGAGTTTTAGAGGCATTGGTAAGTTTCGCTAGTTGATACCGAAAACGATTCGCTAACGGGTTCTGACAGGTCCAATCCTACTTCCAACGGGAGATTTACACAGTTTGCTTCATTCTCGGTGCTTTCTGGCCATTGGTCTATGGCTTGGGCTTCCTGAAGAGACATTCATTTCTGTCTGCTTCCTGGTCAGTCGGGTGTCTTCTCATGAGCACTTTCACTCTGCTACCGGCAAACAAGGTCGAGGACATTACCACTATGTAAGCGTCCCTTACAAACACGAAAGTCTGCGCAAACTGCTGACTTTATTACGCAGA